TTAAGTAGAATGCTTCAATTTCGTTAGGAGATTCTAAGCATATTTGTCTGAGTGGCTAAGGCGCACATCTGAAAAAATGATTTGTTTATCACTTTGATTAATTCTGCGAAAAAATATTCAGTATGTTAAAACTGAAGTCATGTTCTTGACGTTGGTACCTTGCGAAATCTATTGAATGACGAATGTAGCGCATCACCTCATTATCAGTATCATGATAGTTAATCACAGCGTATGTATTGCGGCTGCTTTAAAACAGCATATTTAAAAATTTATATTAGTCATGAATACTCGTATACCTTCCGAGAATTGATTCTCCATAAGCCAATATCATGGTCAAAAGCTACTAATGAGTTTTAGAGATATATACAGTGTACATTTGAACGGTGTTTATAGTTTATTATATTATTCCGGATTTAATTATCTTTAATTTTGTCTCCATTATATATAACTAAATTCCAAATTTTATTATTTGTTTTCGTTTTTATAGACTCGAGTTCATGATTTGCAAGCTTATGTTGATTTGTTAAAACAAGAAAAAGAAGCATTGCGTTCTGGACAAAATTTGGACAAGTCATTTAATTCCGATAGTAGTACAATGAGTTCTATAAAAAGAGTGAGTTTAACGTAATATAAACTATGATAGTATGATGAATTTTACAATTTCCGTTCTTATTGCTAAAAACGACCTACATACTGCTCTTGTTTAAGTTGGTGATCTTGTCGAAAAATAACGTTTCCTTCAAATTTTAATTAGTATTGTTCTGCTTAACAGTAAGAGGTATTACTATTCACTATCTATTTTAACCAAGACTAACTGTCAGCATGATTAAATAATGATAAATAACGATTAAATAATAATCAGATTGTCAAAACGAAAGTATCCACATCAAATCGGGACAGGTAACGACATTGATGATAAGTGAAAATTCGTTGAATGGAAGGGCCATGGTTGTTAGAAACAATTAGTAAAGTCATATTGAATAGGCAAAGAGCAGTATCATTTATCGATGTTAACTTTATCCTAGTGCTTAATATCACGTATGATACATGCATATACATGACAAAGAAATAATTTGATCGAAAAGATGAATACTACACTAAAATAGTTACTCGAATAACCATTGATGGGATTCGAAATTTAAAAAAATCACATGAATTAGGCTGCGTTTCTGTATACCCATTTCAATTAAGCGACAGAAGTCAAACCACCTGATAAACTGACGGAATTAACAAATGATGAAATAAAACTTAGCGCTCAGCTCAGAAGAAGCTGAAAACGAATAACACGAAGATGTTATTCATGAATAAAATGTAGACCATTAAATAATCGATTCTATTTTATAATTGAGCGAATGACTAAATTCCACTAATCATTACGAAAACAAACAAACAAACTTTAGTAGTTTAACACTTGGTACAAAATTCTGTCACGTAAATTTTATAATATTATGGTGTAATGGGAAAATTCCGACGGCAGAAACAATAAATGAATAAAAATACTTGCATCGATTACGGTAGAAAACTGAAAGAAGAAAATCATTTGAAATGACTCAAAGTAATCGATAAAAGCCATTTGGTAATAGTATGTAGTTAATACAAATGTTGACTATAAACAAATCATTGTACACCTTGTGCTAATAATTTTCAGTTTTATAATTTAAAGTTTCTAATTGAATAAGATTTTGCTCAACGAAATGAAGATTACCAAGGGATGCCGCACTAAAGAGGAATAGCTGTTAGGTACGTACTGGTTTTCAATGGTCGTCTAGCTAAGATCAGTTCATGGTTTAAGCGTATGAAAATTCTACAATCTCCACAAATATTCTTATAATGATGAGCACTGATTAGTTAAATATTCTGATGCCGTCAGTTATTTTATTGTTATGTTTCTCGTATCACCTGTATTTATTAATCCCAAGAATTTTTAACATAAGTTATTTCAGTTTGTACAACCTTAAATTCATTCATATCTTTTAGTTTAACACATTTTTATTTTACTCCCATATGACTATTCGGTATAAGTGATAACTAATGAAGCTTATAAAACTGTATCAGAAAGAATATTTTCCCTGTCATCTATCTATTTGGTTTTTATGCGATAAGAATATACCGAAAAATACTTTGATTTAAAATTTTTTCCCAAGTATTTGTTTCATTCCATTGCAAGATTATTCAATCAGTATATCTACTTTTTTAATGTCCAATAGTCAGATTACAAAGCTTGGGGATATAAACATATACTGAGTTAAGTAATTCAACGTGGTACTGACAAAATCATCTAGCTTTATATAGAAACAGGCGCCTAAGTATCCAACAATATCCTATAAGGTTAATATACATATACAAACGTACTTGGTTTTTGTTTCAAATTAAGTATGTTTGCACTATATTCTACAACGCGTTTTTTTAAAGCGACTAAGGATGCAAAGCAATGAGGCCACTTGATAAGTGAAGTTTATATATAACAACCTACTTACATCGAAATATACATGAATTATATTAAACACATGTGATAAAAACAACCTCTCTTACAAAAGATAAATGTTCCTTTGTGTTGGTCCATAGTTAGTTCTAACCCTTTTAGGTTACTATGGCAACTTTTATTTAAATATTACATATGGTATGAAACACATGATTTATAACATCCAGGTATATTACAATCGATGGGATCTTTATGTTTCAGTGTCGAAACGTTTATTATTAATTATTATATCTGGACCCTCTTATAAAGTTTATTTAATTAAAATTGGTTTATACCAATAATTGTAACTCATTTACCAAGTTCAGTGTTGTTAATATTGTACTGTAGAGAAATTGAAATGGAAAAACAGTTAGTTTGTCAGGTTTTCTAACATATTACTTCCTTTACCAACCAAGTGAATCTAACTGAATCAGTTTATTTTAGTCCCCATTTCAAAATAATCCGATATTTTTGAATTCAATATTAATATTTTCACTCTTGTTCACCCATAATCTAACTTTTTTCTGAATTTATTTTGCGTAATGTATTTCTTAAGCTGATCAGAGATTTTATTTTATTAATTGAATGATATTTCATTTTCTTGGTACTGTATTCATCTCAAAGGCATGCTCATCCAAGTCTTTTTATTCGTGTCTGAAACAAGATCGATTACTGAATCTTTTCTGATGCATAGATTCAGTTTTAGCGTTTTATACAACAGCTTTAGCATAGCGAAATAAATTCGAAGTTCTTTGAAACGTTGAAATAACTCATACTACTATTTGCAAACCGCTCAAGCAAATTTCAAACTTTGAAATGTTTCGAAAATTATCCTGTGTGTTATGCAACCATTTTATAATCACTGTAGTATTTTTTGGGGTCGCTCATTAAAAAAAGTCCAATGGTAGACATTTCTTTAACCTCAATCAAATAAAGGTCTTTGGTATGTAGTAACATAAAACTGTATTATAGAGTCATTCATGACGAATATATATATATATATATATATATATATATATATATATATATATATAACAGAAATGTGTATCAGGCTTCTAGGTGCATACATGCGCATGGTTTATCAAAGAAACACAATACTTTGTCAGCTAATTGTACTATTTGATTTTTGCTGTTTATATTTAGTTAGAGTAATTTTTATACGGAACGTCACAAAGGCCCATGATTTTTGCAAAGGTAAGAAGAATAAATTATTAATTCAGAGTGACTCATTAATTAGTTTAGTTTATTCGTGCGTACAAAATAATTTTCTAAACGACGTGGATTAAAAGTTTTTATGTTCTCTTTTGTTCAATAATAAGTTTCATTAATTTCGGATACTAAGTTTTTGTTGTTCTGTCCTGTCTGTTTTTAACCAGTCTGTAGATTATTGAATACTTTAATGTAATTTACTTAAACTTGTATGAACGAATAGTAATAAAAGTAAATTATCCGTAAAAATATCAGGTATCTTCATTTTATTTAATATAAACTTAATATTAAATTCATTCTGTATTGTTTACTTGCATCTACTCATTGATGTTTAGGACTGCAATCAATTAGTCTCTTATTGGCATATATGCATCCTGTACGTATTGCCTCGATATTGTCTTAATTCACAAGCATTCTGAGCAAAGAGGGATAGAGGCTAGCAGCGGAATCCAGGATATGTGTTTCGTCCTATTTGAGACTCGTCAGCTGGATGTACCTACATCCTAGATTTAATGTTCAGTCCGGGATTCGAACCCAATACCGTTGGCTTTGAACTCCATCGCGTTATCCACTCAGCTACTGAGTCCTGATACCCGCTGGGACACAGGTAAACCAAGATGGCGGATCTCAAATAGGACGAAACGCGCGTCATTTTGTAGACTTCTCAGTTCAGCGAACTGACGTGAGTTGCTCGAAGTAGAACCTATACACATTCGCTCTAGGTTCTTTTTTTAATTACTGGCTGACTACTAGTTATACGAAGTCTTACAAAGGTCTCACAGACTACATCTTGTCAATACTCTTGTTTATTTTTTTTCGGAAAGACAATGAGATCTGTAAGAAAGTGACATACAAATATATGAACATAACATGTAGAAAATCATCTAACTGAATGCATTTCTTTTAAACTTCCTCCTAAGTATAAAATTATGTACGTAAACAGGAACCATATAGTCAGCGTCCCTAAATTTCACTGAAATTGTAGGCAGTTTTCAGTTATTTCATTTACTAAAGCCGTTATGAGCATCATTCATTAGTAGAGTAATGATCTATCTCAAAGAATAAATTCTTAATCTATGAATTTTTACATGCTATAATATCACTCGCGAACTCATTAAATGAGCTGTGCAATAAATTCTCTACCAATATACAAACGTGGCTTTTAATCACAACAACCAATTACTTTTAGGCAGTAGAAAAAGTAGGTTCGACTTTGCATGTGGCTAACCCTGCAAATTCTAACTAGTCCTGAATATAGCAAATATTAAATTTCCGTCTTTGTTTTCGCAAAGATTTTCCCCACAATATCAAGGTCTTGGAAATATAACGGTATTTATGGAAACGTATATTTCATTGCACTTTGCTTTGTAAATTAATAATAATATTGGTTTTTCTTTATTGTTGTAAATTGCGTTTGTAACACTCCATATATGATCATATTAGGTAATTAGCGATTTCTTCGTATTCGTCCCCTGATTCCTCCGACAGTACAATATTTTTTAATTTGGCTAGATTTTCTAATTTGCTGCAATGATTTAATAAATGTTGCGCCTCAGGAACTCCATTATTCAATGCATGAACCAGCAAGTCATTGACTTGATTTGTTGTTAAATTACTTTCTGTAGTGTGCTCTTTAAAATGTGCGATCACGTAGTTGTATGATGCGATTGGATTTTTATTCTGAAGAGCAGATATTTTTAACCAATAAATAGCTTCTTCATATTGTTCTTTGGTATTAGCGTGATAAAGTAAATGTTGACTGAGACGATTCTGAGCTTCCTTTATGCATCCACGGAGTAGAAGTAGCGAATCGAGAGAAAAATAGGGAAATGCAATAAATCACGTTGAAAAGTTATTTCTGGGATCATGAATCGATGAATGTTAGACCACCATTGAAAACCTGGAAGCAATGGACAGCCGTTTCGTCCCATTATGGGATTCCTAAGCAGTGCACATCCACGATCCCACACGCGGTATTCGAACCCAGGGCCTTCGGCCTTACGTTTGAGCGCTTAACCTACTGGACCACTGGGCCAGCATCCGACGGTGATAATATCTAACTTCAACCACTTCTTGAAATTGCGCGATCGATGTTTGGTATTGGATTTAATTCTTATGTGCGGGATCGTGGATGTGCATTGCAAAAGAGTCCCATACTAGGAAGAAAAGGCCGTCCGGTGTCTCCAAGTTTTCAACATTCATCGATTCATGATCTCAATCATAAACTTAACAATCTCCAAAACCCGACACTGAAAAGTTATTTATCAATAAAAATGTTGATCACTTAGATCCCAAACTAAATGCCATAATGGAATCTGAATATTGGTATGTGAACTGAATGTTAACTATAATAGTAATAATAATAATAACTATTATTCTTATTCCTACCATCATAAACTTGTTATGTTTACAAATACACAATAATGCTACTAACTATGATTGTTTAAATGTTTTAAAAAAAGAATTTCCAATTGTAATTATGTAGCTTTATGGAGAAATTACCGAATATAATTAATCGCTTCAAATGTTTTCAAAACAGAAATGCAGGAAAAAAGAGTAAATTAATTACGCTGGAAAAGACACCCGGGTAACGTTACCTTCATGGAGGGTAAAGCGAATCATTGAGGAAATCTACAAAATCGCTGTCACTTTAAGACATTATTACATATTTGAGATTATCAAAAAGTAAAACTCACCTGCTCACTCTATTATATGAAAAGAAGGAGATTTTACTATTTTCAGCACAGAACAGTTATTACATTATCTTGATGCCTGGTTGTTATTCTTTTATTTGGATACAATACTTGACTTCTCTTTCGCTAGATGTCTCCTATTGTTCGTTCAAATTATACTGAATGGGTTTTCGATGCTGCCACCCTGTTGTTGAATATCGATTGTCTTAACCACTAAGTGGAGTAGTGAGTTGGCAGGTAAAACAGATGAATTTCAGTTATGGGGTTATAGATACAAAGGCTAGTTTGAATACAAGAGTCCCACATACAAGAAACCATGGTCGAGAGTCGAAAATACAAACCCGTACTTGTTAGATTAGTTATTTCGAACTATCAACTTCACAATATGTTTGATCCTCTGCCATATTATATATTTTAGCAAAATATCTTAAAAGCAATATATAACACAAAATAACTGGTAATTATGTACACTAAATAATATGCCACACACCATATTGTGATGTAGAAAAAAGGAAATCAGAAGAAGTAAAAAAATACTTTGGAAGGTACAATTCATGTAAGAAAACAACCCGGAAGAATTTAGTTCACCTCAAAGATTGGTCATAGTACATATGAAAAGCCACTGGGTGCTAATATTTCAGTCTACTGCGTAGTATGGTACTTATAATTGAACCCTTGAATTCATAGTAAGACAACGAATACCTATTCAGTATGTTTATCTTTCATACCACCAAGTCACATCAAAAACAGCTTTCCTGTGCTTTTTCATTTAGCCCCACCATTGTCGATTACATAGTTTAGGGACGATGTATTCATAAAGAGTATAAACTGTCGAAACTAACGTTTAAATTAGTAATATTAATTGGCTTATCATGTTCATGATGCTTGATCAAGCATGTTGAAGTAATGACCTATACTTGCCAACCAACTTTTTTTCAAAGATTATTAACGTGTTCAGATGACCTACTATGTCATACCTTTTGCACAGATCCCAAAAGATTCGAGTACTACTGAGTTGAAGTGGAAATTTTTTGTCCGTCTTCTGTGGATAAGATATTCACTACTTTACAAATATTCTGGTTTACTCATTCTTTAGAATGTTTAAAATTAGATTATCGAATAAATTGTTTATGCAAAAGACAATGATTAACTACTGTCTACACACTCCTTTTATCTTTCTGCTAATCAAATCTGTTTATCCCTTCTTCACAAATCATATGATTAGTATTGTTTACGGGATCATTTTACTTTTCGACAATATACAATCGTGGTCCGTTTGTTTTCATCTGTCTAATATTTTTTTTCAAAAATCATTATCTAACTAAAACTTGTTTGTACGAGTTGTGAATGCCTAAATCACCCTCATAAAAATACTTGTTTTAATTTTTAAAAATGTTTAGTTAGATGAGACCAATGTAGCATTTGAAATGATTTGACAGCTTTTACTGGAGATACTAATACTAATCAAATGAATATTGAAATAATAAAGTTAATGTCATTTATGAGTCTAAAATTATTTCAGATTTACTTATAAAACTTTGAGTTGCGTATTCCGTATGAGGGTTTGATACAGTAATAGTTTTTTAAACACTAGTATACGAACCAGTTCATGAAGTTGTGATCGATTAACCTAATAACTGATCATATAACCTAATAAACCACAATTCTAGTTCTCACATCATCACCCTTCATTTAATATAAATGAATGGTGGCTACCAATTTATAAACTGTTCAGGTATTTTACCAAGTACTTTATGGTTTGACTAATTATAAAACCCTGTCAACTGTATTTTCAACCCATATGATTTTATGAAATGTTTACAATGTATCTCAATGAGTAATCTCAAATAGGGACGCCTCATTGATTGGCATATCTTTTTTCTTTATCTGTGCACGGTCTCGATCAAACAGAATTATATTAGAATTTATGCACATAAAGTGAAGTACCAATACACCATAAAATCTTATCTACAATATATATTATGAGGCATAGATTTTGTTAAGGCGAAAACCATCTAAAATGCCTGGGGTTGGTGATAAATACATGTTAATTCCTACTATACAGATATATTTTATTGCTTCTCTCGCAGTTAAGGTTCATAATCGTAATGAGTTGTTGTATTGCTTAATAATTTGTAGTGAAAATCGTCTACTGTATTCAAACACCACAATATAAAGGTAAGTGGTTATTACTGTCTTAAACTGCTATATATAGTAGAATAGAAGACTGTATATTTAAGCTACATCGAGATAATGAATACAGCATTAGTCACTTATAAATTTAATCAGTGGTAACTTCGACAATGTAGAATGATGTTTATGGTCGGTAACGCATTGATTTTAAGAATTTGTGGTTTCTTGAATTCCAACTACGCGTACACATTAAACTAATAAACAGTTTTCCAAGCAATAAGCAAGTTCCACTCAACGTTCAACGTAAAAATAATAATTGGAAAAATATATAAAAACACAGAATGGACATTCACTATAGAGCCTAGTATAACTGTTTAAATATATTTTAAAATCAAGTGAACCATTAATCATTATCTGCTTGATTTGCGGACACACACCTAGACTACCGTACCTATTACTATTTCCAATTGATACATTACTTCTTAATGTCGCATTCTAAGTCAACTTTAGGTTATCAATTTTAAATAAGAATTTTCGATTCCTAAATCTGATCACTATGTCTCTTAGCTGTGTACTCTAATATTGCACAACTGTTCTTATAAATTTTCTATACATAGAAAAACAATTTCTAAAAGGCAGTACTTTCTGTGTAGCCATTTCATGTGTTCATTCAAGCATGAGATATGTATTCTCGACTTTTTTGCCATTTACAATTACTCAAGCGAGCTTTAAATGATATGACAGCAATTAAGTTGACTGAACTTAGCTTGTATTTAAAAAACACACAGGGGTATTGTAAACAAAATTAAATTATTGAAAGGGCTGTATTAATAATATGACAGTTAACAACAATATCAGAATATATAATATGTACATCGCGCCAAAAATAATATGAATAAAGATTCTAAACGCTGTATATCAACGATGCAGATGTTTCATTTTGAGTATGATGTGTTGTTATGATATTTTTAAAGAAATAAACAGACTAAGCTCAATATAATAAAAACATCCACGACAATATTACACTGAGTAAAGTAGTTACATTTTGTGATAACCATAGAACACAGTTATTTAAAAGATATCCTTTAGAAAGTCGCTAATTCCAAAAACCGATCAGCTAAGGAGTCAATAAATTTATAACAAGACTCCACATCCCAGATTAGCCATCATTAGCTTCATTTTACGTCATAATCTCTAGTCGATTCTGAACAATTTAGTATTACTTACATTTACTTTATATTAAAAAGATTGAATAGCCCTTGAGAACAGCCGAACAGGAGAACCTAGAGGAAAGTTAACTAGAGTTCTTAGGTTAGAGGCCAATGCTCCACGAGGAGTATTAGGAGTGGGTAGTTAATTTATCATGAAAGATAGTAATAACCAGAGAGCTAAATTGCATTTCATCATTATCAGTGAATCGATATAGAATATCGGCTTATGAATTGAATGATCGTAACAATAAAGCGAACATTGACGTAGACGACGACGTTGATAACGTTAATGATAACAATAAAAATTAACTAAATCAACTGACTTATTGTGACAAAGATTTTTATATAAAATATAACTTACTTTAATACCTAAATGAGCATAGAACTTCATGATAGGTATATACATTCTATCGGAATAATGATAAACAAAATACCCAGTTAAAAATACACCACATATAATGCTAATTTCAATGATATTTATCATTCGTGAGTCTGATTTTGTATGATGTGTTAATGGTGTTTTATCAATATATGATATGTATCGTTGTGATAATTTATTATACATTTTATTATTGTCATTATAATGTAGTGGTTTTATATGATCAGTTGAATTAGGATGTGACAATTTTAGGTTTTTAATCGACTTACGTCTACGTAATCCTTGTTCATTTAATTCTTTCATTGAATATGTAGTATAGCCAACTCTATAAGTGATGAATAAATGTTCAGTTGTTTTTTTTTGTTTGAAAAGTAAAATGAGCTCCTTTTATACAGTAATTGTTTCTCATTTTTGACCAATATGACTAACTGTTACTAATAACAACTACTACTTTTATAATCATAACAATAATTATTGTTTCCTAAGGACAAATGGTAACAATAATTGAATTCACTTATCAATAATAATAATGATAATAATAATAATAATAGGAAGAAGAAGAATAGAACAATAGAACTATACGAATAAATAACCAATACAATGAATGAAAAGACATCTTGTATTTAATGGAAAATTGTATTTAAATAATTAACTGAATAGTTAAGTATGATTTGTATGTTCCTGTTAACCTATCAATTCAAACATTTAAAAGTTACTCAATGACGAAGGCTTAAATATATATCAAACAAACTTATTAGTACTAAAACTCTTTGCACAAAACAGATTCCTCGTAATATAAATGGTTAGCGAATGTTACGGTTATTGAAATTCAAAATCTTACTATCTGTAATAAAACCTACTGTTTAAACTTGTTAGAAATCTAGGATCAGTTTGATTACAAATAGTAATTCTTTTTAATGATTATGTCATCGATCCTTATAAAAATGTAGAAAAATCTATAGACACCTGAATGTTGAAATGAAGTTAACACTAATAGTGCTAAATACCATAAATTTATCAACCTTGACTCATTTATTTTAGTTTTGATGGCAACGTCTTATCACTGGCTCTCACACAAAACGAAAAGCTTAAACCTGAACACATGAACTTGTACTTAGTTAATCATTCACATGATGAAAACATACTTTTAAATTAAGATAACCTTTACCATTTAAGATTTATGAGTTGATCTTTATGTAATTAAAAACTATTACAAAGTCCCTTTTTACCACTTACTGACTGAAGCTTTTTAAGTTTAAACCATATTCTCACAAGTATGAAGCTTCCTTCACGAAAATCTATTTCATCAAATGTATAGTATGTCTAGCGTCAATACCATACGAGTGCAATTCTATTCTATGGGTGTCCTGTTATTGAAAGGCCTTAAAATATTAGTAACTACTGAAATAATTGTTTTACTTCAGAATCATTGAATTCTCTAGTGATAAATGTTATCAGATGATGATATGGAATGTTAGTTGACAATTCTTATATATTGATCAAACTTCGAAATTGCTGACCAATGTATCTAAATTCGGTGCCCAAAAATCAATATGTTTTGTGCATAACTTTTGGTTTGGTTTTATATCACATCGATAATGGGCAGGAAAAAGTTAACTGTTTACTACATTTTTATTGTTGTTGGCACACCTATTAAATACAGATAATGATTATAATTTTGTACAAATTAATTAAAATTGTTTAAAAGATCGTAAAAATCAATAATTTGCATTTCCCATTTATTTCAAAACAAATGGTTGACCTATTTCTAATAGATTGGTGAAAGTGGAAAATCCCCGAAGGAATTAGAAAAAATCATAGTTTGTTTAAAAAAGGTATTAAAACGTTGTCAAGCTGAAAATGAACGTTTGAAGTGTGCGCCTGGACCAGTATCACATGATGAATTGAAACAATATAAAACAGAGATAAAACGCTTGAAAAATGAACTTGAAACAGCACAGTTAACCGTAGGATCAAAACTATTCAATCGTCGATTAGCGAATGAACAAGGAACAGCTAAATTAATGCATCAATATGACAGTTTAAGAAAAGATTATGAAGAAGTGAGTTTTTAATTGTTGTTGTATTCGGAAAAATAAATTTCATAGGCTATATCCTCATTTATCAGTAATACGAAAACATTTTTGAAAAGTATTGATAAACATTATTTTTATTGAGATCATCAACCGATTGATGTTAGACCACCATTGAGAACCTGGAAGCACTGGACAGCCGTTTCGTCCTATTGTGGGACTCCTCAGCAGTGCGCATCCACGATCCCACACGCGGTATCCGAACCCAGGACCTTCATTCTCGCGTGTGAGCACCTAATCTACTGGACCACTGAGCCGGCATCCAATGATGTTAATGTCACAATAAAAAAAAGTTAACAATCTCCACAACCCCTAAACTGATAAACATTTTTTTCTTGAGAAAATGCAGACAACCATATTCCCCTCCCAAATATATTTAGGTCAACCGAATGATATTTCATTAATGTACGTGAAATGATAAAAACATCCAAACTGAACTTATTAATATAAACAATTTTTGCTTAGTTATTTTAAAATAAATTCTGAATCGAATTTTTAAAATCATTTTCTCGTCTTTATCAAGTAAATCAGCCTTAGATATGAATTATATGACTCAATAACCGTACTTGATGAAAAGTACCTAACATTCATACCTTTCAAAAATCGATCTTCTACCTGGAAAACTTCCATAATATTTAGCATATACTGCAGCACGGCCAATCGTGAAAATGTTGTTTCGCCATTGCTTACAATTTGACAAAGAAGTTGTGGACATTAATGAGCGATAGATAGTTTGTGTATGTTGGTCAATCATACAAAAACTGACACTAAAAAAAGAATACTATTGAGTTATTAACTAGCATTATATGTATGCTTTTACAAAAATGACTTCATACTGTAAATTAAGTGGTTTTAATCTAATATATACCGAGATCCATTTATAATGGTATACAATATTCTTATCCATAAAATTCTAATTTGTTGACCTAAAAGCTTTTACAATTTTTATCCATTAAGTCAAAATGTAGATTTCTGATATTATTATTGTGTTAATAATTAATCTATCAAGTTAGTGAAATATTAACACGGTGTGTAAATAAACTAACATAAAGTGGGAGCGAATTCCCGAGAAAAATACAGAACGAGTCTACTTACAAAGCGGTTATCAGTGGTAAACGAAATATTTCAATATTCAGAATTTCTCGACTGAGCACCACCTTTTGCATATGCACAAATAACTGCGGTTAACCATTTCTTTAATAAAACAGAATTCTTTGACTTTTTTCCACTTGATAACCTGAATATCTATTCAATTTAGAGGATTATTAACGCAATTATTAAGGTAGCAAAATCTGTAGCGTTTAGTTCACTTACAAAACATTGTGTATTAAGTAATTGTTGAGAGAAAACTATCAAATTTATTCTTTTTCATGTATAAAAGCACCTCAGTGAATAAGGTATCCGATTTCTAATTGATAGGTTTCAGATCTGAATCTTACTCTTGTTCCTTTCAATATCGTCAGCAGTTCCTATCCTTTGCCCACACAGTATGATTGCACGAACCAATACTTATTTGCTAAAGTGAATTGATATTTATACCATATTTGTAATGTTGGTGATTATTTGTCTAAGATTATTCGAGTAACTCCAATAAATCAAAGCTCAAGCTTGCTGGTCTGACGAACTTTCTGTTTGGTCGATAGACTAAGAGTACTTCTACTGAGATATTTAAAACTTAGAAAACTTATGTAATAAGCAGACAACATCTTTATTTATCTCTTCTTTTTAATTCTAGAATTTGTAAATATGGCATTTGTATATCTCTATGATTCAGACTAAAATCTTTCTGTAAAAGATAACCACTGATAGAAAAAAAGTTGGGAAGATACTTTTACGCATAATTATCATTTTATTATTATCGTCCAAACAGGTTTTATCGAAAAATCAAGAGATGGCAGGTCAAATAGAATATTTACGTCAAGAAGTGGACAGATTACAGAAACCACCTGAACAATCAAACAATAATAAACAACCCAGTTAAACTAAATCATGGCGACTACTTGAAACACCATAAAGAACTTGCAATGAGTCATTGTTGTTTGTTTACAAAAAATATTATTGTTATGAGGTCTTAAGCTAAATAAGACAAATTCTTTTGTTCTCGATAAAAAAATTTGAAAAAATGGGTTTCCGAAGTTGATCTCACAGTAACTTAGCAAGCAAATGTATATTCTGTTTTTGAGTCAATTATATTACACCATAGGAGCAACTCGATTGCGGGAAACAAAAGAGACAAAATCGTGATTGTGTTATTTGTTCAAGCATTTGTCATTTCGAATGGTCGGCAAACGTTCACAGACAGTCATGAAAAATATATCAAACAACGTGACATGTAGCACTTAACCCAAGTACAGTGTGACTAAACATAATTTTCTAAACTAAAACACATCACGCTGTACGGTTCACACTGTTGGATGTTTAATGAAACTATCATTAAGTAAAAATCTGAGATCTCGTTAAGTAATCTACTCTGCAGAAGCCACATCCTGACATGCCAAAACCAATGGTGCATTGAAATTATGAGATTGATAATCTATAGTCAAGAGTGAAGTATGGAGACGGACTTTAAGGTCTCATACTTCGTCTTTGATCAATCGGGAGGTAATGAAAATAACTAGTTTTCAATAAAAGAAACAATCAAAGGACAAATCAATAAAAATGTATGACGTTGCTTAGAACATACTGTTTTGAAATGAAAGATAAGTTTTCACTTTCCCCTTTTATGACAGCTTATTCTGTCGACCTCTATCACGTTTGATTACTGTTCAACCTGTCATTATCTGCCTCTTCATTTTGATTGTATCTCCCTTCGATCTGATTATTGTTCCCATATCTGTCCATCATTATTCTGATTGATAGACTGGATCGATATGTTTGTTGATTGCTTCTAAAAATCCCCTGACGTTCTTAGTATTCCCTCTATACAAGATTTCAGCATTTTCCAGTTGAATACGTATCCACATGCATGATGTTAACTAGGATATGTAGTGGCATCTGACCGCTAATTTATGTTCATTAAGACGAAAATGAAGAAATCCAGATTGTTAGATGTACTGTTTTTCGCAATTGGAACAGTTTATTTTGCAGATGTTTGATATCTCTTCTTTTGTCCCGATCGCGTCTCCTACATTGAAGTGATGGTCGGGCTTACCTATCGTGATGACCCAGCCGAGCTATATTGGCTGGAATATATGTTTCTGTAGGTCCTACCATGCCAGGCAGATAGATTGGAAAACGGTAAGAGTAAAAGCAGCAACTTGAGGTCTGAGGGCGAAGTCGTACTGCTGACGGTAGAG